AGAGAGAGAGAGAGAGAGAGAGAGAGAGCGAGAGAGAGCGACAGAGAGCGAGAGAGAGCAAGAGAGAGCGAGAGAGCGAAAGAGAGAGAGAGAGAGAAGAGAGAGAGAGAGAGAGAGAGAGAGAGAGCGAGGGAAGAGAGAGAGAGAGAGAGAGGGAGAGAGATAGAGAGAGAGAGAGAAAGAGAGAGAGAGAGAGAAGAGAAGAGAAGAGAAGAGAAGAGAGAGAGCGAGAGAGAGAGAGAGGGAGAGTGAGAGAGAGAGGAGAGAGCAGAGAGAGAATAGAGAGAAGAGAGAGAGGAGAGAGAAAGAGAGAGAGAGAGAGAGAGAGGCAGAGATAGAGGCAGAGAGAGAGGCACAGAGAGAGAGGCAGAGAGAGAGAGAGAGAGAGAGGCAGAGAGAGAGAGGCAGAGAGAGAGAGGCAGAGAAAGAGAGAGAGAGAGGCAGGGAAAGAGAGGCAGAGACAGCGAGAGGGCAGAGAGAGAGAGAGAGAGAGAGACAGCGAGAGCAGAGAGAGAGAGAGAGAGGCAGCTCAGTCACACTGAAATCCAGATTCGTCCTCACCGAGTCCCACCACCAGTGAATAATTATTATTATTATCATTATTATTATTGTTATTATTATTATTATTATTCGTAGTCTTGTTATTCTTACTGTTCGTATTCTGTTGTGTTGGCTTGAATTGGGCCTCCAGAGGCCCCTGAGGTACCTCTGGAAATTCCCGAGAGCTTCTGGATACTTCTTGAGACTCCCAGCGTTCAAGGACTAACATGTTTGGATGTGCTTGTACCTCTTTGGGGCTCCTGGGACGCCCTGGTGGCCACTGCTGGATCCGCATTGGAAGTCTGGCCGAAAAGCAGAACATGGCGAGACTGGCGCGTGTGGACGCGGGTGCGCATGCGTCGTTGTGGCCCTTCGGGGAGCCTGGAGGTCCTCAAGCCCAGCTTTTGGCGTCCCAAAAGAAACGTCATAAGTCAGTAGGAGGGCGGGACGAGGAGGAGGAGGACGATGAGGAGGAGGAGGAGGAGGAGGAGGAGGAGGAGGAGGAGGAGGACAAGGAGGAAGAGGAGGAGGAGGAGTCGCGCGACACAGATGATTTGCATGTGGCGGCGCCCAGGACACTGAAGGGACAAGGCGACAGGACCGACCTACAAGTGAAGCGCTCGCAAGGTCTGCGAACAGTTTGCCATCGAAGGCAAGTGCTCCAGACCACGGTGCGAAAAGGAACACGGGCCGTTGTGCTGGCATTGCTAATGTGGGCGTTGCTGACAATGGGGACAGGTGCAGCTTTGCACGCGTAGGCAACATCGGTGATAAGGCCACGAACGCCTCGCGTAAGGGTGGCTCCCCAGAACGCTCGTCCTTGACTAGAAGGCTGGCCTGGGCCCGGTGACGACGCGCGGAACAGTCCGCCTCAGTTCCCTAGCGAGGCGAGGAGGCACCATGCAAGCCCGAGACAGGGCGCGCGGGGAGACAGTTCCCCAGGGGGGTCGCAGAAGCCACCCCGAAACAACAGGGGATGGAACCCGTCGCCGCAGCAGGCTCGTGGCCGCCAGCGGTCGACTCCTGACGGCTCAGAGCGAGGACGTCCGAGAGTGCCCGCGCCAACGTGTGTTCTGCCCGGCGCACTTGTCGCGCCGTCCCTCTTCCGTGGGGAACCGGCGCGGGGCCCGCGGAGGGGGTGGGGGGAAGTGGGCGCTTGCGTGAAGTCGGGCCTGCCTCTCTACAGGGGGAATATTCAAAAATAGCCAAAACATAGTACATATGTGGATTATTTGTTGAGTATCTTTGGGCATCTTTTGAGTATTTGTATTGCATATTTTTAATTTGTCGTCCAAAACCCCCCTGCAGGGGGACAGGCCCGACCTAACGCTTGCGCCCGCGCGACGGGGCAATCCGCCGCCATGCGCTCGGCGAGGTCGCTTAATCCGCGCGACGGGGCCACCCGTCGCTGAGCACCTGGCGGTGCCGCTTCTCCACGCCATGGGGGAGCTTGCCGCTATGCACCTGGCGAGATTGCTTCCGCGCGCGATTGGGCAACGCGCCGCCGAGTGCTCGCCGCGTTTTGTCTCCACCGCGCCGCAGCCACCAAGCGCTGTGGTGATTGCGCAGGGGCAGCCCAGCGCCGTGGTGACTCAAACTGCTTTCACGCGTTGCGACGTTCGCGCCATGCTGCGCCCGTAGCTTCACCGGGTGTCGTCATGACGCTGGAAGGTTGTTCGCGGCGCTTGCGTCTGGGCCGATGGTGTTGTTAGATGTGTGTTTGCGTGACTCGTGCTAAGTGTCACAGACGCAGCATCATGCATTACAGCTTGCCGCGCTGTTCGAAGTCCCGTCGCAATGCATGTTAGGAGTCTTCGACTCGGCAGGCACCGTGCTTGGATGGGCGTCCGACTGTTGTTCGGGACTTCAGCAGCCTACATCACGTCACTTTCGCGCCCTCTCCTGAAGAGGCGCCGCCCGCGGGTACCTGTGGGAATCGGCCCTGGAGGCAGGCTTTGCTGGCCCTAAGACTTGCGAGAGAAAGAGAGAATCGGGGCCGAAAGACGTCATTCTGCAGTGGGGTAATCCGCTGCTGAGAAGTCAATTCTGCACATCTCGTGACCCATGGCTTCGTCCTTGGTCGTGTCGCATGTTTCCATAATGGGCCTCTGTGTCGTTTCATTATTCCGCATCTCTCGTCGCTCTTCCTTTTGCGGCTGGATTCGCATTGGATTTTTGTTCATTCTTGATTCTTGGCCCATGGACATGTCTTCAAGACGGCGCTCCTGTAGCCTGCCTTGCTGTCTCCTCAGTTTCCTCCTCTTCCTCCTCCTCCTCGGCCTTCCTCCTCTCCTCGGGCTGCCCCCGCAACGGCCTCCAAGGCGGCTGTTCCTCCCGTGGCTGTCTCCAGCGGCCTCGTGGTCGGGGGGCTCGGCCACCTCCTCCAGCTCGCGCTCCAGGATGACCCCCTTTTAATTCCTTCAGCATCCGTTCGAGTCCCCAGTCCTTGGCCGACCGGATGACCCCCTCAAGCTGCTGCAAGAGCTCCTCCTTCTTGTTCCTTTCCCTGTTGCCTCCTCCTCCTCCTCCTCCTCCCTCTGGGCTGCGAGCCTTGTTGCTGCCGCCCTCTGCCTGACCTCCTGTCCTGGTGTCGCGAAACGCCGAGATCACCTCTATCATGTCCAGCAGGGGTGTCACGTCGTCCCCTCGCCCTCCTGCACCACGCAGCTCGTGCCGAGTCCAGAACTGCACGATCTCCCTCACCACTGGCTCGTTAGCGTCGACGTGAATGAGTAAGCCCACGTCGAAATTCGCTCCTCCCTCCGACGCGGTGGCACCCGCGTCCTTCTCTGCCTCCTCCGCCGCCTCAGTCCGCGTGCGAACGTCCACGCTCACCCCCATGGTGTTGGGATCGCCCGCGCTGCTGAGCTGCGAGCTCTCTGCCTCCTCATTGCCGGCAATGTCCTCCTCGCGCGCCCCAGCGGCGATAGGTGGATCAGCGCTTCGCGGGGGTGGGGCTGCCCGCGCCTGTGCTGAGCCGGCGCCATCTGGAGTCGCATTTTGCACACGCCTCCTCCGTAGCGCCCGCTTCCTCCTCCTCCTCGTCCTCCTGCTTGTCCCTCTCTCTGCAGTGTCCCTACCGATGACGATGTATCGGGTGCCCAGCGGCCACCTTCGTGGCCACGAAGGTCTGCTCCTCTGGACCTTCTTGGCTTCAGCAATGCGAAACCTTCTCTTCCCCTCCCTTTTTGCCTCAGGTTCTTTGCCTGCGTCCTTGTGGAGTCCCGGTCCAGGAACCGGCTCGCCCTCCTCGTATTTGCTCCGCCCCCTGACGAAGAAGACAAGGTAGACGCCCACCACCACCACGTGGAGGGCCTGGATCTGGTAGCTACCGAATGGCACAGCTTGCAGCTAGCCTTCACGAGGGCGGCTCACTTCCAAAACGGAGCTCTCGCCCGACTGGCAGGCCTATGGGGTGCTCTTCTTTCAAGGTGACGCTTCCCGTGGTGAGTCGCAGTGCCTGCAGGGACTCGTAGGGATGGGACTTGGGACAGGATTGCTTCGTGAACTAATTCACTGTGGGTTTGTTCTGGTCCTCGTCCTCCTCCTCCTCCTCCTCCTCGTCCTCCTCCTCGTCCTCCTCCTCGTCCTCCTCGTCCTCGTCCTCCTCCTCCTCCTCCTCCTCCTCCTCCTCCTCCTCCTCCTATTCCTTCTCTCAGAGCGCCACACGGCGCCAGCCCCCCCCCCTGCCACGGAGTGAACACACAGCTCGGCCATGTGGAGCTTTTGCATGCCGCTCTGCTCCGGTCGAGGGAGAGGGTTGCGCCGATCGATCGATCCTCCTCCCCGAGAGCCGGCCCGATCGATCCTCCTCCTCCTCGATCGATCCTCCTCCTCGATCGATCCTCCTCGATCCTCCTCCTCGATCGATCCTCCTCCTCCTCGATCGATCGATCGAGCGATCGATTCCTCCTCCTCCACCCCCCCCGCGCGCGTGGGGCGGCGCTCGTCGCGCCCCCGCCTTCCCCGCCCGTGGGGCCACGGCCCGTGCCCGCCCACGCGCGCGCGGGCTCCCCGGAAGGCCGGGCGCGGCGCGGGGCGGGGCGCGGCGCGGCGAGGCCGCCCGCGAGGCGAGCCGCGGCGAGCTCCTCCTCCTCCTCCCCCTCCCTCCTCCTCCTCCTCCTCCTCCCCTCCCTTCCTCCTCCTCCTCCTCCTCCTCCTCCTCCTTCCTCCTCCTCCCCTCCTCCCTCCTCCTCCTCCGCCTCCTCCTCTCCTCCATCCTCCTCTCCTCCGCCCCCCTCCCCCTTTCTTATGCTCGTCTCCCCCCTCTCCTCCCCCCTCCCCCCCCGTCCCCCTCCTCCTCCTCCTCCTCCTCCTCCTCCTCCTCCTCCTTCCCTCCTCCTCCTCCTCCTCACTCCTCCTCCTCCTCCTCCTCCTCCTCCTCCTCAGGCGAGGCCGCCGTCGAGGCGAGCCGCGGCGAGCCCTCGGACGCGGCGCCTCGGGCTCCCAGCTGGCCCGGCGAGCGGCCCCTGCGGCCCAGATGTCGGGGGCGGAAAAGAGGGGGGTGATGACGGGAGGGGAGTCGATATCATGGCGGGGGCCATGATATTTCCCAGATTTCGTGGCGCCTCTTCTTATTTCATTACGTCCCTGGCCCCTCCGCTGGGCCGCGCACATGCCGCCGGTCATGATTTGCACCCCCCCCTCTTGGACACCCCCCTCTTGGCCGCTCCCGACAGGGTTTTTCGTGGCCCGTTTTCGTTTCGGCTTCGAGTCCTGCGGTGGAGGCGGATATTCGAGACAACGGCGAGGGACCACGACAGCAGAACGAAGACGAACAAAAACACCGTTTGGGCTCAGCCTTGCCAGCCCGGCCCGCCCCACCCCCGCCGACCGCGGCGCGCGGCGAAGATGGCCGCCGGCTGCCAGGCGGGCGCCTCGCGGGCGCCGCGGCCGCCGGCGGAGGACGCCCCCGGGCCGCGGCGCCCCGCGCGGCCCGCTCGGCCGCGGCCCGCGGCCGCCGCGCCCGCGTCGGCCCGCGGGCCGCCGCGGCCGCCTGCCCCCGAGGAGGGCCACGGAGCGCTTCGGGCACTGGCGCCAGAGGCGGCCCTCGGAGGAGGAGAAGGTACCCATACCTCTACCCCTCGCCCGTTTTCCCCTTTTTGGGGCCTCCTGGGCGGCCCTCATCGCCACTGCTGGATTCGCTTCGAAACCCTGGTCTGAACGCACCCCAGGAGAGGTCAGGGGAGTAGCGGTATCGGTACCTTTTGGTTTCCCCAGGCCCCTGGGCCAGCTTGGCCGGTTTCCTGGGCAGCAAGTCATGGGAGCCTGGCCTGCGCTCTTCACCCTGTCTTTGGGGCCGAGGAGCGTCGATTATAGCGTCTGGGGGTCGATGGGACGGCGCCGATTTAGCTTCGGCTCGCGTCGATTAGCGTTGATCGAGCGTCGATTAATAACGTTGATCTAGCGTCGACGAGCATCGATTCGCAAGAGCGGGCAAGATGGGATGGGAGGCTCCCATGAGGTGTTCCCGAAGGTTTCCAACGACGCGTCGCTCTTGCCGCCCCAGATGGCGGCCATTCGGGGCTGGGACGGCCTCGGGGAGCCTCCGCTGCAGATGGCGGCGACCTGCGCAGCGGGGCACCTCGGCGTGCGGCTCCTGCGGCGCTCCCCTCGCTCGACAAGCTCGGCGGCGCGCGCTGCGGGGTTGGGGCGAGGAGGGGGGCGACCTTCTGCCAGCCCCCTGCTTCGGGCACGGGGGCCCGCCAAGCCTCGAGCCGGGCCCTCGTGGGCACGAAGTGCCTCGCCTTCTCGGGAGGCCGCCCCCCCCTCGCCCCACCTCTCTCGTGCGCGCCGCCAGCAAGCGCGGGCGTCTCGGACCTCGCGGGGGAGCAGCGCGCCAGCGCAGGCCAGTGGCTGGGCGGCGGCCTTGCCAGGGCGGGCCCACCGTCGCTCCGGGTTCGCGGAGGCCGCCACCCCGCCGACCGCGGCGCCACTGACCTGGCGCGCCATGCCTCCGCCTGCGCGGCCCGAGGCGGCGCTGTCGCAGCGGAGCTCACGCACGCCCCCGACGGGCCCGCCACCGCAGGCAGCGCCCTTGCGGCGGAGCTGTCGTGCGCCAGCGTGCCGGCCGCCGAAGGCGCACCGGCGGCGCTGGAGCGGGACGGCCCCGCCTGCCCACAGGCGGACCCGCCGCAGGTGCCAGCAGGAAACAGGGCGCCAGCCATCGTCGCCGCGCTGCAGAAGCTGTTTTTTGAGGAGATGGCGAGAGGCCCCGGCGGCGCGCCAAAGCGGGCGGGGCGGCCCTCGAGAAGGCCGGGGGCCTCCCCAGAAGCCCCTTCCAGGGGGCGAGGCCCCCCCGACCCTCTCTGAAGGCCACCGCCACCTCTCGCCCCCCCCGCCCCCCTCCCGCGCCCCGCCGCAGGCTGCACCGACGCCAACGAAGCTGCGGCGCTGGCCCTCCGCCGCCTCACCTGGGGCCCCGTCCCGGAGGCGGGCCGCGGCGCGGCCGAGGCCGAGCCTCCCCCGCGCCCGCCCGCCCGGGCCGCCTCGGAGATCCTCGAGGTCGGCGAGGAGGCCGCCCGCCCGTCGGCGCCGCGGGGCCCCGCCGCGGCGGAGGCGCCCGGCGCGGCCCCGCAGCCCTCCGCGCCGGCCGTGCCGCGGCGCCCGGAGGGCGGGGCGGGGCCGCGGCGGCGCCCCCGCCCGTGCGTGCGCGCGGCGAGCTGACGGCTCGCCGCCGCGCGCGCGAGGGGCGGCCGCGGCGCCCGGGCCCTCGTGGCGGGCCGGCGCTGCTCGGGCGGGGCGGGGGCGAGGACGGCTCCGGAGCTCTCTCCGAGGAGAGCGCTCCCGAGCGCTCTCGAGGAGGCCGCGGCGCGCGAGGCACATCCTCCAGGGCCGCCGGGGTCGCAGAGAGCTACTCTCGATCTCTGTCCTCGCCCGAATTCGCCCTCGTCCTGGCCTCGGCTACAGGTTGCAGGCTCCCGCCGTGCCCTGTCGGGTGCGGCCTCCGGAGAGGCGGCTCCTGGGGCACGGGGCCGTGCGCCGACTGTGCGGGAGGGGTGCTCGCAGGGCGACGGGGCCTCCACCTTGCCGAGTCGGTTCCGCAGCGAAGTGCCCTCCCTCGTGCCTCCTAGCTTCGGGGGTGGACAGACCTCCTACCCTGACACGTCGATTGAGGAATTGGCCGTTTTCGGTTCGCGAGGGGGCGTTGCGGCCGTCATTTTTGCGGGTCCAGGTCCGTCGGTTTCAGTCCCAGGCCGTTTTCACTAAGGGGAGATTTACTAAAGGGAGGTTTGTCCACCGCTGATAGAGGGGGTCCGAGCAGATGGGGTCGGAGGATCGCGTCGCATCGCCGATGCATCGCCGATGCGGCTCGATGCGGAGCCCGGTTTTCTCCACGACGATGTCGCCGATGTACGGGGCCGACGTGGCCGATGCATCGCCGATGCATTCCAGACCCCCGACTTCATGATTGTTTCATGACGGCGACCCCAGAGGTCCCGACCCTTTCCCCACGACTGGCTTTTCATCCCGAGTCGTTTGCTGACGGCCCCGAGGCCCTGTATGGGGCCTCGGGGCCGTCAGCAAGCCGTGCCTCCTGGCCGTTTCCACGAGTGGGCGTTTTGCTAAAACGAGGGTTCTGTCTCGGAGGGCCAAGCTCTAGAAGACCAGCATCCGGGGCCGATGCCAGATATCGTTTTCACGTCCTAGCTAAAAGCGTCAAAGGACAGATTGGGTGCTGCGACGTCCACAGACGCTTTCGGAGTGGATGCGTCTACGGATAACGTGGCCGTTGCTTTCGGCGCGGTGCAAGGTCGTAGAAATGGTAGATCCGTCTACAATGGACTCCTGTTCTAGAGCAGTCCCACATGGTACTCCAAGTTCCGTCTACCCCCGAGAAAACCGGCCATAGGGGAAATGAAGAAGTCGATCCATCGGAAACAGGAATAACGAGTCGAATCGGCCGCGGCCGCAGACCCCATCGAGGCACGTCGGCCTGCCCTCGTGCCGGGCTGGCGGATGGAACCACTAAGGCGTTGTGCGAGCGCGGCGCCAGTAGGGCGCGGCCCGATTGAAGAGATTTTATTTTGTTCCAGCCTTCTGGTTCTGTGTGAGCTTGTTCCTCCTCTGCTTCCTCCTCTGGCCTGTTTTCCCTGCCTCCGCTGCTTGCGCGCACGGCGGCGAGCTTCTTGAAATTGGGAGCGGGGATCTGTCGCTGCGAACTGGAAAAGAGCACATGAAGATACAATCGTCATCGGTGCTGGTCGAGGTGGCCGTACTGGTGCTGCTGATCCAACACGATGGCAGCCTCGTGTCGGCGTGTTCTTAAGCATGCTTCTGCTCGTCGTCGTCATCACTTATCCCGAAGACCAGCACAAACACATGGACGCTGTCCGAAATCTCTGCCCGTTCCAGCGAAGTTGAAATGCTGCGGTCACCGTTTGGGCGAACGCACTGTTTTCGGCCGGGTCCCAACCTTCGTATGCCCCACTCGCCCCTCCGATGGTCTCTGACCTCGTGAATGCATTCCCGCACGCATCGGAGGTACACGCGGACTTCTTGAGAGTGTAGAAATGGCTTATCCGCACATGTCCTCTTTTTTCCGCGTGCACCTTTCCAGCATATCTTGATCTTGCATGCTCATGTCAGGCACTGCTTCGCATCGCGTGGCCGCAGCCGTTTCCCAGGGGCGTAATGCGTGTTAGGTGTGTGAACAAACCCCGAAGCCTTGAGCGCAGGGATCATCATAACACATCGCGCCCTCACACCCCTCCCTCCAGTGCGTGTGGCGCGCCAGTGTCGCCGCCAGACGCGCACGGTCCAGGAGCGGGATCAAGTTGCGGTCTTGACATCGGGACGATCGAAACTGGTACGGAAATGATGGGTACAAAGCTCGACAGGAGTTCTTTTTCATCTTGAACAAGACGCGCTTTTGGTGTCGCCGCGGCCCGTGTCCATTCGAGACAGAGAAGGCTGCCTGCCCAACAGCGGCCGCTGCAGGTTTGGGACAACATTTGTGGTTGGGCACTGTACCCATTTTTCCCGTACAGTGCCGTCTTTCATACATGCTCGCGTGCGGATCACGTATAACAGATGCAGGGATTTGGTACTAAAAACAACGATGAGTTCATGCATACACTTATTCATAAAGTAATCATGGATTAAATATTTGTTTTTAAAGATCCCATGAATTAAAAACTGCCCTGTACGCATTTCGGGCGTTCACACGACAGGCATAGACATGGCTGGAGCCGCTCCCGAACGCTCGGGCCCGTGGGCTCGCCGGACGCCACCCTCCGCGCGGCCCTCGTCGGTCGAGGCTGGCCCTCTCGGGGGCCGCCTGCTGGCGCGTGCGTCGTCCTCGCCGCCTTTCGGCCTCGTCGGGAGGCCCGTCCCGGGGCTCCGGGGCCGCCAGCGAGCGGCGCACGATGAGGAGCCCGGCACGATGAGAGGCTGGCCCCTGGGGAAAGCTCGGGGGCGTCCAAGACAGGGGTAAGAGACCACACGCGAACCCCACCCCTGCCCCCCACGATTTCTGGGGGGGAGGGCGGGGTTCACGTCGCTCGGGAGCTCTCGAGCGAAGTGAACCCCACCCTCCCCCTCAGAAATCTTGGGGGGCAGGGGTAGGGTTCGCATGCATGTGGCCCCCTAAGGGGGTGAGGATTCGCCGTATAGCCGTTCTGGCTCAGGCCCCTCCGGCTCCAGCGGCCTCGGCCTCAGACCCCTCGGGGCGCCCCTCGCCCCCCCGGCCGCCCAGAGGTCCTCTCCACTCGCCATGGAGGCGATGAAGGCGAAGGCCAAGGAGATGGCGCAGAAGGCGCTGGAAGAGATGGACTCCCAGGCGGCGGAGAAGATGCCGGGGATGATGAAGCCCTTCATGCTCTGCAACGGCGGGTCGGCGGTGCGGACGATGAACTGCATGGCCTGCGCCCTGCCCGCGGACGCGAAGGATTACCAGCCTCGAACGTCTCCATATCCCTAAGATTGACACGCCAAAAGGCGATGACAATCTTAGGGATTCGCCCTCAAACAATAAGGGAATCCCTAAGATTGGCATCGTGATGAGGAGGTGCCCAGCATACAGTCGGGGCCCTGAAGAAGGAACCCTTTTCATTGGGGAGGGGCTCCGTGTTCCTTGATTGTTTCGCAGCTTGCCCCAGGTTTTCTTTAGGTTTTCGATAGGAAATCGAAGTTTAACTTATGGGAAAAAAGGGGCCTCGTTCCTTATTTAGGGTTCCTTAGGTCAACGCCCCGACGGTAGGGGTAGGGATATGTTCCAGGCTGGTAAAAGGAGGGCGCGAAGAGCATGTACGAGAAGTACATGGACACCAAGAAGAAGATCGACGACGCGTGAGCGGGATGGAGCCCCGTGCGCCGAGAGGCCCTCGGCGCGCGCTGGGGCGCGCGGAAGCTCGGCAGCGGCGGCCTCACACCGGCCGAGGCTGAGCTGTGTTGGAGGCCATCCCCTCGCGGGGCAAAGCGGGGCCACGCCGAGGGCTCCAGAGAAGAAAGGAGATGGGGGTGGGGTGAGGATTTTCGGGGGGGGGAGGGGGAAGGGGAAGGGTTGTGGCCGAGGCCATGGAGCGCTTTCGTTGCACCCTCCTCTCTCAAGGCGCTCCCTGCCCCTCCCCCCCCGCCGTCCGCGCACGGTGTCCGCGCGCGTGCCCCGCCCGGACCACGCTGCGCCGACCCGCCCTTCTCTTTCTGGCCCCCCTCCTCGGCGCGCCCGGCAAGCCGACAGGCCCAGGGCCCGTCTCCGCGAGGGCCCCCCTTGCTCCCCCAGGCCGCCCCTAATTCGCAGGCCTGGAGGTTGACACCAACACCAACATCGGCGGCGTGACTCCACCGGGGGAGGACGATCCCGATCCCGATCTCGGTGGATGGTGGCAAGATTCTGGCTTCCAGGGCGGCGGAACTGTTACCACCGACACCGCAATCTAGGATCCTCTTCCCCCTGTGGAGGCAAACCCCCTGTTTTGGTGTTGGTGCCACTTTCCGGGCCTCGAACCAATCGGTCCCCAGACCGCTCCCCGGGGGGTTGTGCCCCGACCCCCGTGTCTCGAGGCGGGCCCAGCCGTGGCGACGAGAGGCCTCCGGGAGGCCTGCAGGGAAGAAGCTATATGAGGGAGGGGCCGCCGGTGGCACGACTGGCCCTCCTCAGATCCTTCCACCGGGGCAGGCAGCCCTCTTCCTCGTCCTCCTCCTCGTCCTCCTCGTCCTCCTCCTCCTCCTCCTCCTCCTCCTCCTCGAGCGTCCTCGTCGTCCTCCTCCTCCTCCTCCTCCTCCTCCTCCTCCTCCTCCTCCTCCTCCTCGAGCGTCCTCGTCCTCGTCCTCCTCCTCCTCCTCCTCCTCCTCCTCCTCCTCCTCGTCCTCCTCCTCCTCCTCCTTCTCCTCCTCGTCCTCCTCGAGCGTCCTCCTCCGCCGCCGAGAGGTGGACGGCTACTTCCACATCTCTCCCCCGTCCGCGGGCTGCCGCCCCCACGCCGGCGACGCGCTGCGCGGCCAGATCCGGGCCAGGGTGCGGCCGTGCGCCTCAGGCGCCGCCGCCGCCGCCGCCGCCGCCGTTGTCGTCGTCGTCGTCGTCGTCGTCGTCGTCGTCGTCGTCGTCGTCGTCGTCGTCGTCGTCGTCGTCGTCTTCGATCTCGGGGCTCCTCCTCCTCCTCCTCCTCCTCCTCCTCCTCCTCCTCCTCCACTCCTCCTCCTCCGCCTCCTCCTCCACCCCTCCTCTTCTTTCTTGACCAAGCCTGACGAACACATAGTCTGTCTGCGCGCCACACTCGGGATGATCTGCTCGCTGCAGCAGCGCCCAGTGCCCGTAGGAACGCACAGGCGGTCGAGGCTCACCGAGCGGCAGGTGCCGACCCCTGGGCTGACAGCGTCGACTGCGGCACCGACCACGCCGACGAGCTATGGGCGTGTGCCAAGCCTGCCTTCAGAGGAGCCCCGAGAAGACGAAGGCCGCTCTCGTGGCGGCCGCGGGGGTGGTGCTTCTGTCTCGCCTGCGCCTGCAGATACTTCGCCTGCGCCTGCAGATACTTCGCGGGCGCCTTCTCGCCTCGCCTGCGCCTGCGTCTCGCCTCCAGGAGATGCTTCGGCGGGCCCGTGCGGCTCAGGACGCAGGGGAGGCCTCCCAGGCGGCAGTGCCCTCGAGGGGAGTCTTCCGGTACATCGACGATATGGCGGTAGTGATGCCAGCGCCCTGCCAAACTATACCGACGACGACGACGACGACGACGACGACGACGACGACGACGACGACGACGACGACGACGACGACGACGACGACCGAGGGCCAGGCTGGCACTGCGGAGGCGCCCAGGGCCGACAGCGTAGCCCCGAGGAGTCGGACCAGGGCCAGGCGCCCGAGCTCCAGCCCGGCTGGAGCCCAGACAGCGCAGCCTCCGAGGAGTCGGACCATTGAGCCGACGCCCGAGCTCCAGACTGCCTGGAGCTCAGCTGGGGGGCAGTCTCTCTGAGCACGGATGCCCGCGAGGACGCGCGCGCACGTACCCCTTCGAGCGCATTCTCTTTTTGGTTCCCGCCGGTTCTGCCTGGCGCGGGTGTAGCCTACGCCAGCACGCGCATCAGCCACAGATCCCTGTCGGATGCTCACTCCTGGGATCCACTGGATTGGTGGTGCTGTGATCTGCTGCACCCAGTCGGCGTCTTGCCGGTGCTCCATGCAGGCTTCTCCAGCGGCGCCGGCCGAGGCTGGCTCCCAGCCCGGCGCTTTGCCTGGCTGCCAGCCCGGCTCCCCAGCCGACGCCCAGCCCTGCTGCTCCTGGCCCAGCCTTTCAGATTCCCAGAAGACTCTCCGGGAACCTGAATAGGCTGGCCCGAGAGAGTGTGGCGCTCGGCGGACAGGAGGAGGAGGAGGAGGAGGAGGAGGAGGAGGAGGAGGAGGAGGAGGAGGAGGAGGAGGAGGAGGAGGAGGAGGAGGAGGAGGAATAGGACGAGAGCGAGGAGGAGGAGGAGGAGGAGGAGGAGGAGGAGGAGGTGGAGGGCTCGCGCCTGGCGCTCAGCCCGGCCCCCCGCCCGGCGCCCAGCCCGGCACTCCGCCCGGGGCGCTTCCTGGCGCTCGGCTTGGCTCCGCGCCCGCCGCCTCGCCCATGGCTCGCAGCTATGGGCTCCGAGACTGGCGCCCTGCCAGGCGCCCCGCCCGGCTCGCGCGCGCCGCCCAGCGCCCATAGCCGGGCTCCCAGCTCGGCGCCCGGCCTGGCTCCCGGCTCGGCGCCCAGCCTGGCGCTTGGCATCGCTCGGACGTGTGCACTTTTCCTTCGGCGAGGACCATCGAGGAGCATCCTTGACCATATTTGACGAAAAACCGCGCACGAAACCGAAAAAAGCACAGGGAATGGACGTCCGAGCGATGGCCAGGGCGCCCTGAGCTCCGCGGCCTCTTGTCCGAGGCGGGCGCGCACGCCTGCGTGGAAGCTATGAGTCCCCCCAGGGTGATGGCGGCTGGTCCGGGTGCAGATCAGAGCACCATCCTGGACATGATCGAGAGCCAAGCCCAGTTCTTCATCCAGACAGGCGCGGCGCAGGAAGACAAGAAGAATGCCTGCCAGGGCGTCGGCTGCCCACGAGCTGCCCGCCTCCATCGCAACCGCCTTCAAGCTGCGACTGCGGGAACGGCGGCGGAGCCGGATATCGAGGGCGATGAAGGCCTTCGCGGAGGCCGGGAGCGCGGGGCCTCTGAGGAGGCGCGACATGCGGGGTGGGTGCAGGAGGGGGGGCCCTGTAGGGGGCGCGCGCCCTCGGAGGGCAGGTGGGCTGCGCAGCGTTGCTCGACGGCGCTTCCCGCCAGCCCGAGGGGCGGCCGGTGCGTTCTTCCAGGGGCGCTGTTCATCGTAGTCTCCCTGGGCCTCGTCACCCACTGCCTTTTGACCTCAACTTTGAGGCTCGTCACGATCAGCATGTTTTTCGCCGTGTGTATATTCGCTATGGGCTCGGTCTTACTCTCCTGGCGCTGATAATTGGGACTGCCGCTTGTCTCCCTCGTTGGTGTATCTGCTGAATGTTGGCTCGGCTGGCAATGGTTGCATCCAGTCCCTCCGTATCATCGCTTGGCAATTTGCGTATCTTGTAGTGGCAACGGGGTGCACTTCTTGCATACTCGTGTCGACGCCCTCTTGGCTGTGTGGCGAGGCTGGTCTGGGCACCTTTACAGTCGCCTTCGTGGGTGTGGGTCTCCCACGGTGCTCTGGAGGAGGGGGGGAGGAGTCTCTCTGGAGTCTCTGCCTGATCGCGTAGCGATGTGAATAATTAAACCTCCGCCACCCCAGCAGGGGTGTTGTGAGCTCTGGTGGCCTTCTCAGCTCGACTGAGGGCCTTCGGCCAGAGCCCCTTGGAAATACGCTTGAGGTATTCCTGCCCCGAGGGGGTGAGCCTACCGCAGGGTTCCCCGAGTTTCCCGAGAACCAACTGAGCGTAAGCTCCACACTTAACACAGAACCATAAATTCAGCCCAGCGTGGAACCGAGAACGGTGGGTACTGTGTACAACCCCCCCGCGACATGGACCGACTTCCCATGAGGGGCCTCCTTATAAGTGCCGTCAACGTTATTGAGCTCAAAACATTCCGAGAGGAGCCAACGAGACCTCGAGGCCTTGCTGGAGGAACTAAAACACCTAGTGCATTGAGAGCCTGTGGGGTCAACAGAGTGCTGGGAGCCAAAGAGGGCACAAGAACGAAGGGCAGGCGGTCGGTCGGCCTTAGACGCTACCTGCCTCTTAGGGCGATGCTCCCTCGGACACTGAACTTCCTGCTTCTGAGCCTCGAGAGTGTCGAGTGCCGTACGTAACAATCTCATGCGAACCTGAAAAGCTTTTTGTTCGGCCAGCGCTACCCGCTGGCGGTGCTCAGGTGAAACGCGTGCTTCACCGGCAACAATACCTGCAAGAGTGTCCGCAACACAATTGCCCACCGCCAAAGATGAGGCAATCCTTCCTTGAATGACATCCTGCGGCTCGGCGTGAGAAGGTATCCAGATAACTGTGACCGACCCATTGCGTTGAGCCGTCGCCTTCTTCAATCTGAGCCAAAGGTCAGCGTCACTGCCTGTGGGTTCCTGGATCTTGCCGTGATGGAAATTGATGTAACATGCTTCGTTGTCGGTGAAGAATACGATATCCTGGTCTGTGGCCTCCACTGTCGCGGCGAGGGCGAGGAGCTCTCCTCTGGGTACAGTCTGGTGGGGACCTGGTAAAGGACCCCAGAAAGCAGCACGTATCTCCATGTCGTTGTCCTTGAGGCTGGTAAATATGGCAGCTCCGACACCCACCCTCCGAAGATGTGGGTTGTTGGTGTCCTGGCCGCCACTTGCATCCCCGAAGGCGTAGAGTGTGTCAACGGGGGCTCGTAGACACCGTGGGGAGAACTCTTCGAAACCATGGCAAGTCCACTGTTCGTGTTGTGGCGGTTGCGGTACCTCCGTCCATGCTGCTGGCATTAGTCCCCTAGTCCAGAAACGCTCGTAATGTCCCGCTGGGCGTAGGCCTCAGGTAGCAAATAGTTGGTGCCCTGAATGATGGGATTGTCCTGATATCCTTCGCATTCCCAGGCTCGGTGGAAGTCGTCTTCGTTGGCCAGGCCGCACCTGGGGCACTTGGCGTCTACGTCAGGCGTCTTTGTCTCCTGAAATATTCGCTGTCGTGTCCACATGGCGCCCGTGGCGATGGTGAGCATCAAATTGGACAACCTTACTCCCTGTGGCACGCGCTCTAAGTAGGTGAGTAGCCTGCGGTAGGACCTGTTGTCCGCACCATGCTGCAAGCCCTCACCTCCATGGTGCTTGCTGGCACAAGTCCACAGTTGATGGCAGATGCTGGTGTCGATGTCTAGTAGGAGCTGATGTGGGATGTCGGCGTCGGGGAAACCAGAGAGCTCTGTGACGTCAATCACCCAAGAGTCCCCGCTTAGACCTGCTGTCTGAGGCATGTGCCATTGAGTCGGTCGTGCTGGATCAAACTCCATTTCCATGAGGTACTGGATGATGGTGGCTTGTGGGCCACGTATGTGTCGGACACGCTGCGCTGCTGGGATGTGCTTGAAATGCTCGACGATCTTAGCCCACGTGCTGTTGATGGCGTGGTGGAGCTGCTGATTGGAGGTCCACGCAGTGAGCCATGCGACAACAGATTCTCGTGGCAACTTCCGTGCTGGGTCACGTTCTGCAGCCTTGAGGTCGAGGAGAGTGGTCAGACATCGTCCTCGAAGCCGTGGTCCGACCGCATCTCCCAGACGCCGTCTGCACGTAGTCATGGCCGTACCAAATGTGCCGTAGAGTTGGTGAGCGTAGTTGGCAGCTGCGAGCCCCCTTGATGGCCAGACGGGATGTGACGTGGTAGCGCTTGGTGACTCGTGCTACCCTGACGATCTTGGCATGCATGCTGCGGTGCCGTAGACGTCGCTGTGTAGTAGTGGCGCGCGCCTGCCTGGTGCCGCAGCTGAGGTCGGCCCCCAGGTGCGCGGCCTGCGCGCGCGGCTGGATGGGGTAGCCCTTCATGCGCATGGCCTTGGCTATGTACTTGGCGT